ACACTGTGGGTGAACAGGCAAACATTAAAGCGCAATTCGCAGCGATGTCCGGTTTTCCAAATGTAGTCGAATTATCTCACTACATACTCACAATCGCCCCCTTGAACTACGCGTTTCAGCTCGCGCAATTTGGCCCGTACATTAATTTGGCCTTTAAGTTCAGAAACTAACACATCAATTGATGCATGTATTTTTACAGGCGCGGTGTGAGGGTCAAACATCGCGACTGCATTCGTGATGATATGTTTAAACCATGGTCTATACAGCTTTTTGAGCAGCTTTTCAAAATTGTTAAAGAAGTAAAACGGTTCAGGATCATAGAGACACGTGTGCTGAAGCTGGCTAGGGTGTTTCACAGAACAGCAGACACAGTTCGCCTTCAAGTCATCTTCAATAATCCGATCCAGAATAAAGGCAAGTGACCCTTTGATTATCATCATGGCAGAGTCGGTGATGCAGCCATCCACAGAATCTTCAGATAATGATGGAGCCGCAAAACGATCGCGGAAATCATCCAACATCGAAGCAGTAAGCTGCGATGTATCCATTAGGTCAGAGTCCACATGCGGAGGTTGTTGTGATCCCTGCCACAAACCCCAGGGTGGGGTAGAAGGGTGCGGTTGTGACTGGAACAGAACCCCATACGGGCCCCATGATGCGGTCTGCCGCGGGGTGTGTTGAGGAAGCTCTGGTGGCGGGGTATCCATTCGCTGACCAAAAGTATAGGGGGTCATGGATGGGGATCGCTGGGGGTTAAGTTGAGGAGAAGACTTGTTGCGCAGTATCGCCCCAAAAGTAAATTCAGATGGGGCACCGCAAATCGATCTGTTGATGGAGGCATGATGCTGAAAGTTCGCAAGCCATTGCGGTCTGGGGGTGTGTCTCGTCCAGGTGATGATACCCAATGAGATGAAAGAAGGCCGTGCTTAACCATGTTGAAAGCGTATTGGCAATTATAACATTTATAAAATAATGTTAAAATGACAGTGTATCATACCTCCAGTTTAGCTTCTCCATCTTCGGTTTGAAAAGTTGTTCGTGGTGTTCGTAGCTTCAAGCTTTCAAGCGGCGGTTAGTGTCTTGCTCTGATGTCTCTCGCACTTAATAAACCCTGGGCTGTTGCGGTTTATGGCTCTCGACAACGGGACAAATGTTCGGTGCCCCGGGGATTGTCTCGCTGTACCCATATTTGGAGTTTCCGCCGACGGGGGTGAACTTGCTTGCAATACCTCTCACTAGCTCCTACAGCTACTTAATTATAGTTACCTGAATGATTTACATCACACTCGCACTACTTAAAATTTTCGTTACAACAAAAGTGAAGTTAAGGTATACACTAATTTAAATTAACACATAATTATTCTTATATGATATGTAGTGTCTATATATATATATATATATATATATATATATATATATATATAGATAGATATATTTATGTNCCTTGAAAAAACATCTCGGAATGCCTTTAGCAGTTTAACGGAAAACGTATGCCCCACGCATTATGCTGTGCTTGCCAAAAGCACACTGGCACAAATAATCGTGTTTAACAGGAGGAGGGCTGGAGAAGTGTCTAAAATGCATCTTAAACATTTTTATGAAAGAGACCAGACAGACCTTCACAAAGATGTTGCCATGGGGTTAACAAATTTTGAGCAGAAACTGTGTAATCATTTTAGCCGAATTGAGATAATGGGGAAAAGGGGGCGAAAGGTTGCGGTACTGCTTACACCAAACATGGTGGAGGCATTGACATTACTTGTCAGCAAGAGAAGTGAGTGTGGTGTTGATGGTGCCAATGTCTTCTTGTTTGGAAGACCCAAATGTTTGAGTCACTACAGGGGACAAGACAGTTTGAGGATTCATGCAGGTCTCTGCGGAGCAAAAAATCCACAATTCCTCAGGTCCACACAACTCAGAAAACACGTTGCTACATTGTCCCAAATTTTAAATTTGAAAAAAAATGAACTTGACCAACTTGCTGACTTTCTTGGCCACGATATTCGGGTACACCGAGACTACTACAGGCTTCCAGAAGCCACCACCCAGCTGGCCAAAATCTCAAAACTTCTTTTGGCTATGGAAAAAGGATGTCTTCCTGAACTCCAGGGAAAATCACTGGCTGACATTGAAATTGAAGGCATGTACCTTGTTTTTTAATTTTAATGGATAGAATCTGAACAGAGGTTGAGATGGTGTAATGGTGTAGTCTAATGTGTTACTTGTAACTTTCCAGATCACATACAGCTGAGTGACCCCGAAGATGAATGTCGTGATAGTGATGGCGTTGAATCATCTGATTCCGCTGAGTCAGCAGGTGTCACAGTAAATAATGAAGCTGAAGTCAGTACATCCATGGAGCACGTCACTGATGATGGAGGTCGGAATTCCTATCATTTATGTCAGTCCATTATTGTCAGAACCCTCGATATACCATCTTAAATGTCTTAAATATGATTTTCACAGGTCTTAGCTAGAATTTATTGACTAATAAGTATAAACCTAAATGATACAGATGTCCTATAAAGTGTGCTTTAAGCATTGGGGGACAATGCACCCCATATAACTTTTTTATGTGTTTTTATATGTATTCATTAGTAATTACACTGTGTCCACTGTGTCCTTTGGGTAATGTCTGGAAAAGTTCCTGGGTGGCAGTGCATGTTTGAAAGGGGTTAGAGCAAACATGGAGAATTACATAGAGCACTATGAACAGGAGATCCCCTGGCAATTTGAAGGAGCTTGAATTTATAAAGTGAGAAAGTTGGGATGATGGTAATGACTCCCAGAGATGGTCTATACAGTATGCAAGATTTGATTAATTTAATTTAAAGGAACATGTAACCTCAGTTTGTCAAATGCAAGTTAAGGATAATTCCTTAACTAAAATATTTATTAATCTTATAATGAATGCACAATAGCTATCAATCTTAAGGATTATTTTCTTTTACTGTTTATATTTTGATGTATATTTATGGAATTCCATGTGTTCTCTGGCAGTTTCTCTTGGTGGTGCTGAAAGGATTGAGACTCCGAAACGGATGACCAAAATGAAGTGGTCAAAAGCAGAGGTTGCTGCCGTCATGAAGTACTTCAAAAGGCATATTGAAACTGGAAAGCTTGCAACCAAAGCTGAATGTGAACAGTGCAAGGTGGCT